TTTGAAATATATTGTTCACTGGTCTGAATGCTTTGACTAGTTCCAAGTATAGACATTTCCCAAAAGTCTCACTTCACCAATATTTTATCTAAGTTATACGTACAATGTATTAACTTTTTTCGTTTTAACTTCAACAGCGGTTTCATATCCTCTTTTTTGGATTTGACTTTGTTTATTTAAATTCTAGGAAACCTGTAATTTCCCTTGAGGTAAACGTTGGGGTGCTATAGTATATTGGTGTGGCGGATGTGGTCTGTTTGATTTATAACATTCCACAACGATCGTTTATGGTATGAAATGAATAAATAAACAAAAATAAAATGCAAAATTCAATATCAACCGGAATTTTTAATAAATAATAATATGAACTAGAATATTTAAATATTATCACAACCATCCGGCATGAGCACGTCCGAAAAGAGTGATTTTTACTTCATGACTAAAATAATTTTTCACTTTTACTGTATTTTTGATTTATATACCATTTTCTATTGTCCGCTATTAAACTGCATTTTTACAATAATCAACAATAGCACTCGATAATATTCTAGTCGTTTTTAATAACAAAATTCAAGTTATGTAAATAAAGTACTTAGCTAAACTACAATAAGAACTATGGACCATTAAAAAATTATTTTTTATCTATAGGATCATTTATTTTACTAAAATGATATTTAAATGATTTTATCAAAAATATAACTTCCAAGTAATAAATAATATATTATTTGAGTTTATGTTATTTGGAAAATAATTATTTACGTTTTTAGTTCTATCCTAAAATTGCAATGTTTTCTGCAGATAAAAGTTTTATGCATCAAACATTCTAATTTTAAATCTGTTACTGAGGAATGAAAAATTAGTTTTTCAATTTTTATATTGATAACTTTTACTTGACTTTATTTATCTTTTCACCGTATAGGTTATGACAGTAAAAAGTTGATACTTTAAATTAAATTAAATTTTAAATATGAAAAAATTATACCTATATCACCGAAAAATCAACTATTTTTTCAATGAATAGGTTTAAATTATAATAACTATTTTTAATTGTTATTCGCCGTGTGAGTTGCAATCGAGTTTTTTATTACACATTGAAATTTAGTTTAAGAACGATAAAATTTATTGAACAATGCAACAAAAAAATTATGGTTTTAAAAATACTAGGGATTTTATGAATTATCAAAATTGAAATAGCTTTGTAATTAAATATTTTTTTATATCAATAAGATTTAAATATACTTAATTGTCTAATTCTTTAACGGTCGCAAAATGATTTGTCAACGATTTTTTTTGTTTATAACAAGATAGATTTATTTAGTTTGCAGGGTTTTGTTGCAGAAAATAAAGTTTATACGAATTTTCAACAACTGAATGGTTTTAATTCAATGGTATCTATCTAATTTATATCTCATGGTGCTCCTTTATTATATAGTTGATTAAAAAAGCACATCCTTATGCATTACGTAAAAAAAATGTTGGCTATTTGCCTGCATGGGAAATTAAGCCAAATACGGTCGGAAAAAAAAATGTATGAAAATTTATTGTTCATACAATTTTTGAGTTNTCGGAAAAAAAAATGTATGAAAATTTATTGTTCATACAATTTTTAAGTTCTATATACTACTTTTATGATCGTTTATATGTCATCATGAAAAAGCATTATCCAAAAACACATTTTTCTAATGTCCGGTAAAGCACATAAATCGAATTATGTATTTTTTGGCCGAAACCATCGACATAGTTTTTAATATAGTACACTTAAGTCACGACCGTTATTAATATGCATGTTAATAGTTAATATTTAGGTACGCCGGTAAAGTCATTGTATTCGAGCACACTCGACGATTGGTACAATAAGCTAAACTTCTATTTTGATCACAAATATGTTTAATCAATCGCATCGTGAAAAATAAAATGTTCTATTACTTATGGTCATTGTGTATATTGTAAAACTTTTTGATTTTTATTAACGAAATTGTGATAATAACAAAATTTACAGTGTATTTATTATTACAGTGTAATTGGAACCCAACATAGTTGACTCCGTTATAGATTATATATGACCACTTCGATATAATTGCAATTAATAAAATACAAAAAAAAAAAAAAATTGAAAAATTTTAGATTTTAGTAGCCACATAGAAAACAAATCGTTAAACCATTTTTTAATTCCGTTGATGGCCTCGTTCTAGCTCTTCCTGTACTTATGTCTTAAGTTAGATTTACACAAAAAGCATACCAAAAAAAAAAAAAGCGTATTGTTTTCAGTGTATTAAAAAAAAAAGTTAAAGCAGTTTTAAAATACTGAAAAAAACCTTAAGTACCGTCTTGGGACGGTTGACAGAAGTGACAAACTAATAAACATTGATTATTGGTTTAAATTAAACTCAAAAATGGCAGACTTAATTGACCGATGTATAATAAAGAAACATAATTAATTTTTTATAATAGCAGTTCTTCACTTATTTTTACATGTTATTTTTTCTCGAAAATAATTTTCATCATCGTTGTCATCTTTAAAATTTGTTGTTGTCGGCTTATGATAACTAAAATATGATACAAAGCTACCTTGTTTCACTCGTTTACTTCCATGAAATCCAATTTTTCGAGACATTTCCTGTTCGGTAGAGAGCGCCTTTAAGCGAACCAGTTGTCACAAACACCGTTGATTACATCATGTCGACTGATAACTGATCTCCAGTGTCTTACCTACCCCCTCGCCCACTCAGTACGGCAAGTCGATGGCTTACACGTCAATTGCCCGTCGTAGCAGTTCTCAGTCGTACGGCAGTGAATGTCCTTAAACGTTATTCTTTTTATAGCAAGCGCCTTCGCTTAGTTGGTCAATTGTTTGGCCGCAGTGCGCCATATTTCTATTGTCTTTTTACACGTAAGTCCACTTATCATAGCCATTATTGATCATTCATCTATTCTACTTTACACGGCTAAGTCTTTAAATGTTTTCTTTTCCTTTATTTATTACATATTTTTAACTATTTCGTTTTATGCCGCTTTGCCGGATTTTAGCAATAAGGACACACCCCTAAGCCCATTCATTTAAGTTACTTTTTGCAGGACTTTAATATAATTGTTTTATTATTTGTTGTGCCATTATTATTTTTGCGTCACTCATTGGATGTGTGGTTAGCCGGCATCCATCAAACCCAACCCAACCGGCATCACCTAGGTGATCTCTCCGACCCGCTCCTATAATTCTATGGCCTATGGCTCCTATTCTTGGTCTCTCGTTTAAACTTATATACAAGGTGATGGAGAAGTCATTATGAAATTGTCGACTGCTAATTTTTTCATAAAATAATAATGATTGTTTTGGTTGTATATATTGTTATTTATTTTTCGATTCGTGAAGTGATTAAATAATTTTTGGATCCATTCCTTATAACGGTACCAACTTATTTTTTTTTTAATAATTACACGCATACTTAACAAGCTCATAAAATAGAAAATTAATAAACTAAGAAAATGATTGAACGATAACATTGTTTGAATAATTGTTTTGGACGTTGTGAACAGTTTTTTATATAAAATTGGGGTGAAGTGCAAGTTATGTTGCTTTTATCATTACACACTTTTTTTCGTTACTCCTAAAAGTAATCTTGTACTGTTGGTCCAAAGTTGTAATCAATCGGTTATTTTTTCACTAAAACTTTTTCTAGTGTTTAAGATATTTAAATATATATATATATGAAATTTAAAAAAGTTGATACACTTTTAAGAGGTGAGGAATGGATCTAGAATATATTTAACCACTTATTAATGAAGATAGTATTTTATTGAAATTAGTCAAAAAATAATTCTTAAAATTCTTATTCATTATCATTATTACTTTTATTTAATAGAAAAATAAAAGTAATAATAATAATATTTGTTTTAGTTACATACTTTTTTCAGTTTATCAATAATAAAATACTTGTTATATTCGTCCCTTATATCTTATAAGAGAGTCAACTATTTTTTTTCAAATCGTAATATTTATAATTATCTACCTTATTGATAATGATCTAACGAATGACTGGTAAGTTTCTTTATAATAACATTTGATAAGCTAGAAAATATATAGGTTATCATAAAAAAAAGTTGACCTCTTAAATGTGTCAATTAGTTATACCTTATAATTATAAGGTAAAATGGCTGAATATAAAAGATATTTCATGGTCGGTAAATTGAAAAAGTACGTAACTAAAAGAAAAAAAATTATCGATATTGTTTTATTTTTCGATTAAATAAATGGTTTTTGATCAAAGAATCATTCTGTATATCATAATTGTAAGCTGATACTTATATCGAGCCAATTATATGATAACCGAAATCATCAGTGGCATATTTTTCGATACTCTAAGTATGATGGAACCCAATTTATCTGTTTATGTGGTATGGTTTGTTTGACGAGGGGTTATTTTTAAAATCAAAAGTAAATTGGTAAATTTATTTTTAAGCATATGTAAAATTTTCCGAGTAAAAATCAAAATTTTAAATGTTTTTCCTATTTTTATTAAAAATTACTGTTTATGAAATTGTTAAATAGATTATTTTTAAAAAATGTATTTTTAAATCCGAAAATAAAATTATTCAATTTTTTTAGATTGCCGTTGGGTTTTATTGAAAGCTTAACATTTACGTGTGAGCGAGTAAAAATTCTTTTTTTAGATGTAACAATTTGAGTTTAAGGCTATTACTATTAAAATAACTTTGTGTGATTAGGGGCACATTTACTTCTAAGACCGTATTGTTGTTTGGCAGATCATTTGTGAGTAATAATCATTAGAGTCCGAAGCGTAACGAAGTGAGATCAAATGTGTTGCTTGGACGTATAGAAATTTTACTATAAGTATGTATGTTCAGTAGATAAAGACTCCAGAAAATCAAAATAAATTAGGGGAAGTAAGAAAAAAAATGCTTGACGCTCTCTAGTGGCGGTGATCAGCGGTGCCGGTGGGAAAGTCGCATGCCGGGTAGGTTTTAGTTATCCTTCTCATTGAATGAAGTGAGCACACGCTACCGGTAACGAGACTCCACTACAGTCATTCAAAACGTCCACGTGTCCGCTTTCGGCGTCCTCGTACTATCAATTATAGTGAGTTTTATCTCGCGACTATGCTCACCGGTGTAACGTCGGTAATGTTGTAATCGTATATCCACAACGGATACCGACATACTAAACGCATCGGACCCGGCCGTTGGGAGGGGGTTGGTGATCGGCTATCACGATCTGTTGAAATTGGCCGCTTGTGACGCGTGCACCGCTAATAAATCATTACCGCCGGTACAGCATAATTATCACGACGGTTGCACTTGCACTCTGCCCGGTCCCATTAGGACTCGTAACTGCAGGCTGGCCACCGTTGCCATTAGAACGCTGCCGTATCCATCGCCGTCGGTGCAGCACGTCTTGAACCGCTGTCACTGTACCGGTCCCAGTCACATAAGCACTACGTCCGATTTCACTCAACACCATCCGTCGCCGGCACAGCATCAACAGATGCTTTTTGTACCGTTTTCTATGCCGGCTAACTACGGCAATCAGTTGGCTTGCCCTGGGCCGACCGCAGCAGCAGCCGCCGTCGCTTCTTTGTCTAATAGCACTGCAGTGAGTCCGTCCGCTGCGGCCGCCGCCGCCGTTTCAACAGTGATCAATGGCAATTCTGGTCTTAAGGTAATAATCAGCTTGTCTTAAAACATAATGTAAAATAAAATACTAAATTGGTTAATGACATACGGGGCGTTATTTTAGTATTGAAAATAGTTAAACTATTGTACATTATATGTGTTGCTCTCAAATTATGAAAATATTTCTGTATATTGCTATGTTTCCATGTGAGTTTTCGTATTTGACAGTAAAAGATAATTTATGCGTATTTTTTATTTAGCTTTCAATAGATTTGAATTTATATATGAAGTATATAGGTCATTATAAACTTACATTAATACGAATAACTTCAAAGGTTTAATGCGAAAATACAGTTTTCTTTCAGTACGATTTCCAAAGATTACCTTTATATTTTACCGTAAAAGAAAAAGTCGTTTCTTTGAAAAAAAAAAAATCATAATTTTAGCATATATATACGTGTGTATTGAACACATTAAAATGTACAAATCACTTTTACAATCACTTTGAATCTCTATTTCATTTCTTTATAGTAATTAGACAAAAATCGTGAAGAATGCTCATCTAAAGATCAAATAAAACGTTTTACTGTGTAAATATTTATTGGAAAAGTTGATTTTTGATTTTGTAACGATTGTACCGTCTGAACCGAGATTGGCCAGTGAATCATGTTTAATGGTGTAATTTCATAGAGTATCATGAACTATGCACTAAATATCGAATTTCCAGAAATCGTTTAAACTAGATCAGTTTAAATAGAACAATGACGACACATAAAACAACTATAATTTTGAGTGACGTTCATTCAAGCTGTGGAATATACCGTGGGCAGTGGACAGATAAGGTTTTTCCCGTGGTGGTGCTTTGGTGCCCATCAACCCTTTATTTTCTATTTAGCCGTAGAGTATTAATAATTTATGTTGGTTTTCGATGCGGTAACCAAATAATATATGTGATTACGCTGCTCGTTATTTAATGGGATTCTGCGAGATAGATTAATCCGGTTAACGATGTGCTCAATGTAGTTCAACGGTAATATTCTGATTGGTATTTGATTATTGTTGTTGTTATTACTTTATACTAAATCCTCTGACAATAAAACCCTAAATAACACAGTATTGTACAATAATGATCACCAAATTGATAAACACGGCTAAGGAACAGATAGAACAACTGTTGTTTTTCAATATTTAATTGACAGCGCGTGTACATATGCATATGAATGTATTTCTTATTGCTTAAATGCACAAAGCATCGTATGATTGTGGTATTACGTCGAATACATACATTTAATATGTGATATTGCATGGAAAAAAAAATCATTTTAAAAGTTATCAATAACGCTTTAGATTCCAAAGATGAGCGCATGTTTAAAGTTTAGATATTTTAATAAAACATTATTTTCTTGGAATAATTACCCTATTGGATCATGAANATAATGATCACCAAATTGATAAACACGGCTAAGGAACAGATAGAACAACTGTTGTTTTTCAATATTTAATTGACAGCGCGTGTTCATATATGCATATGAATGTATTTCTTATTGATTAAATGCACAAAGCATCGTATGATTGTGGTATTACATCGAATACATACATTTAATATGTGATATTGCATGGAAAAAAAATAATTTTAAAAGTTAACAATAACGCATTAGATTCCAAAGATGAGCGCATGTTTAAAGTTTAGATATTTTAATAAAAAATTATTTTCTTGGAATATTTACCCTATTGGATCATAACAACTTAATTTTGTGATCAATTTTATAGTTATTTCAATTTCGACATTCATAGAATGATAAATCAGTTACACGAAAAAAACGCAATACTATTATTTTTAAAATATACACATCATTGAAAGCTTGGGAATACTCAAGTATAACAAACGGCCGTGTTATATGTAATGCTGTTTTTTATAAAGGATAAGCGCTACGTTACTGACGACTTTTCTTTTCAAAGTGATTGGTTGTAGACGAAGAATATTGTAGCGTAAAAAACTAACTACACTCTTCGTTCAAATGGCATTTAGGTTCACACTCAAGTAACGTCAAACAAAGGCTTTACAACTGATTCTGTCACAAATGTGAGTGCGTCTAGGTATTGTCGATTTACGTTTAAGGATATGTCGAAGAAAACTTACACTATAAAAATAACTCGCAAAAAACTCTTTTGTTTCGTTAAACTATAAACACAAAACCCATTAACGAGTTCATTTAAAAAAATAACCATCAGCCAACATGATTATTATGTTATACATGACAATCAATGTATAATAAACATTACTCACATCATTAGTGAAGTGATCTAATTTGCTACGTTTCTGTTGACATATTTTTACATATATATATATTGTATATATATGTATATATATATGTTTAGTTGATTGAGTGGTACGAGTATAAAAGGTATAAAGCATACATCATTAACAAAAGGTTAACAATGTACTAGTAAAATGTATTTAAACAAAATTAATTTGAGACACAAGCACAAAATCAACCTTAATTTACCTAGACTCATGTCTGAGTCATTTAACAGTGTCACCAAATGTCGAAAAACAGACAACTTGTGTACTTTTTGTAATGGACTTTTACCAAAATTACCCAACGACTAGATTTATGTTAGTTTTGAGTAAAATTTATTATTGTAAACTGAACTCATTAGAAGAATTCATAATAAAAGGCGCTCAAGTCCATTAGCAAAATGTATCTCTCTGCGAATTCTAAAATTATAGTTTTCTGTTTTGTATACACCCAGCAGAGATGAATACATTCAGCTGTTACAAAAAAACTGTTAAATATAACAATGAAAAGTTGGCGTTATCCCTCACAATGGAATTTTCCCCATTAAAGTAGTAACGAATATTTAATATTTTTCAATTTTTTAACCTAAACGTAATAGTTGTAATAAAAAAATGTTTAAATGTACGGATATTTTCAAGTAATTCTGACTTATTACTAACTTGTTTAAGAGACTATAGGTCCCTTTTGCAAAATAAATGATTGCACGACTATGCATATTCAAAAAAAAATGTGAATTATCAAAAGTAATATTACTATAAATATTTATACTTGAAACCATACGGTGATTAAAGGTATCTACGTACAGACTTCTAATAAGTTATGCGTCTCTTTTATGGACTTAATTAAATAATAACGACTGTCTCTAGGATTATAGTGTCGTACGTGCAAGCTTAAACTTACTTAGGAAACGCATGCTTGTATGGCGTACAATATAGCTCTCAACTGGGCTGTATGGTTAATAATTGCAATGACAATACTACTATGACCCGAGACCTTTTAGCGACTTTGCAGTGTCATCTGAAGTAAAATGATAATCCGTTAATAAATCGCTTGATGACTGGTGGGTCAGACATTTTTACGATTGAAATCGCAATTATTCCGGACAGAGTGCAATGTTTTAGAGAAAAACTAGGGTGTTGATGTAATTATATATGTGCGGTGGTTGAAAAGTTCATTGGGATTTGTCACCGACTGGTTAGTGGATAGAAACATTCGTATTCATTAATGTATTGCCCGACCCTTGTCACCGACTCTGTTAATTTGTTTCCAAAACGAATCAGTCCTCCGACGTCTGGCAAACATGGTCCCAGAGCACGTCAATTCTATTAATATTTTTTTTTTATTATTTTTAATTTCAAACTCGATTTGGGCATCTCGAATGGGGTATTAATCAAACGAGGCTACTGTGACCTTTTCCCTAGCTCTCATTTTTTTTTCTATCTCCCTCTTTCCCATACATTCGTTCTCACTCACTCGCTTCGTTAAACTAGTACCGTACAGTTAAGCGTTTTTTTTTTCAGTATCGATAAAATACTACCAGTAAACTCATCAATACCCGTCAAGTACACACCATTGTAAATAACATGTGATAATCTTTTCCGTAACATTTATATTATGTACCTGCTATTATAGCGACGTTTCAAAAATCTGATTCTAAGTAATGATATCTTTATAAAATCTGATATAAAAAACAGTATAATAAATTTTTATAAATCCATTAAAATTATATCAATGCACAGCTTTAATAATAAAAGATAAAACAGAAATTCTCATTAGGTTCTCATTGCGTTCTTGGTATTATTGGTTATTACAAAATGTTCGTGGAAAACACGAAAATTCGTTTTTTCAAAGTATAGAATACTAATTATTCTATTCTTATTATAATACGTTTTATAGTACACAAGTTATTTGTACGGTAAAACTAAAAAAATGTTTTATAATTCATCAATACTATAAAGTTTCATTTGTAATTTTAGTGTTGACTTATCAAAGTTTAATTTATTCTATAGAATCTTTTCGACATGTGTTAATTTAATAAAAAAAAAATGTAGCAATTTAGGACAAATCTATACAATTACATAAATGAATTAATGATTAATTTCAATTATAATAAATAAAACGTAAAATTGCAAAAAAATATCCCGACCCATAATAAATATTAAGTGTCTAAATATGTTTTTGTCTTCTAGTTTTGATTACTTGATATTCTCACGATAAAAACTATTATTATGATTTTTGAAAGTTTTATCTGCTGTAAGTAAGTAAACGTATTTAACAAATCGAGTCTGGACAGTATTGCTAGTTTACAATTGACTAGTTGGCGGCGGTAAGAAGATGAGTTGGAAATCTTATCCAAGTTGAGAAATGAGCAGAAATTTATAATGTGATGTCGCTGTATGAGAGAACTACAGTAATACTGTTATGGTCCATGAAGAAAAAACATGGAATAGTAGCGATGGCGTTTTTCCAAGATTCCACCGAAGCCTCTTAAAAATACTTTTTCCCATTTTATAACTAAAATGTCTAGCTTGTCTGCCCATTATCCTGATTTTTATCCTATTGTCGCCTGACTCCACGATTCATTGAGTTTTTCTTCNTTATGGTCCATGAAGAAAAAACATGGAATAGTAGCGATGGCGTTTTTCCAAGATTCCACCGAAGCCTCTTAAAAATACTTTTTTCCCATTTTATAACTAAAATTTCTAGCTTGTCTGCCCATTATCCTGATTTTTATCCTATTGTCGCC